TAGCATATATAGTTCCAGTAATCCTCTTATCAATTTTTGCTTCTACTAAAGTAAATGCCAATGCTAAATTATAGACATGAATTTTCTGTCTAAATTCACACGATTGTGTATCATTATTTATAAAGTATTTCTTTAATAATGGTGGTGATCTTGCAAAGGTGAAAGTAAAACTTTTCTTTTTGCATAGCAAGTACTGAAAATAAGAAATTTTTTTGATAAATTTGAATATTTTTTATCTACCAGGCATAGGATATCTCTCCTTGGTTGTTGTTAAATATAAATCAAATGAGTTAACTTACTCAAATTTATATATAAAATTTGTAAAAAAAATAATTTTTTTTAATTTACTTGTAAATTTATATATAAATAAAACTTTAAACTTTAAATATAAATTCTTTAATATTTTAAGATTCTTTAATATAAATTGCAAGACTGAATATCAAGTAGTTTTAAAAAAATCTTAAAGTAAAGTTGTTTAATTCTTTTTTATATTCTTTAAGTCAAGTAACTGACTTACTTAAAATAATAATATGATTAGCTAAAGAAGTTTTTTTAAATTAAAAAAAAACTTTACTAAGTAAAGGTCTCTTTTAGCTCTAAGTAAACTTGTAAAGAAGGTTTTTCTGATCCTAATGATAGCTAAATCATCAAAATCGGCTTGGTGAATCCCAAGATACTTGGGTTAAAGATGTAAATAAAGATCTGCAAAGTTATTATTACATGAAAAACGATCGTCTATTAGACGATTGTCTTTCATGTAACAATAACTTGCAAATCCTTATTCACATCTTTAACCCCAAGTATCTTAGGATCAACCAAGCCAATTTTGATGATTTAGCTATCATTAGGATCAAAAAAACCTTCTTTACAAGTTTACTTAGAGCTAAAAGAGACCTTTACTTAGTAAAGTTTTTTTTTTAATTTAAAAAAACTTCTTTAGCTAATCATATTATTGTTTTGATTTTACAGAGGTTGTAAAGACAAAAAATACACCAACCTTAGAACAAGATTTTCTTTAAACTACTTGATATTTAGTTTTATAATTTTTGTCAAAGAATCATTCAATGTTAAAGAATATATGGGCTAGATGCTAAGAAAAGGGACCAAATTGACAATTTTTTCAAAGGATATTTTTTTACATAAATCAATTTAAAATAAGATTAGAATTATTTTTTACTTAAGACACAAAAGTAATTATATTAAAAAAATTTTGTGGTATAGCTTTTTAAAGTTTGCATTTTCTTATAATTTATTATAAGACTTATAATATAAAAATTGATTTTTCGAAGATCTTTTTTTTTGTTAATTTGGTTCCTTTTCTTAGCACCTAGCCCATATATTTAAAGTTTAAAGTTATATTTATATATAAACTTGTAAGTAAATTAAAGAAAATATTTTTTTTTACAAATTTTATATATAATTTAGGTGAGTCAACTTATTTGATTTATATTTAACAACATTTTGAACCCCTATAAAGGGAAATATCCTGTACTTGCTACCTATTTAAGAGCTACATAGTAAGAGGAGAGACAGAAATCAGGTGATTTCAATTTACTAAGAGGCTATACCCCACCTGATTCAAATATTAGCCAATAAAATTCAACTACAAAATATAAAACCTGATCGAATCTCAAACCCCTCACCCCCTAAGAAATTAGCTGATTTCTGTCCCTCCCCTAAATGTATAAATGGTTCATTCTTCCAAGAAAATGCTGATTTAACTTTCTTGCATCAAATAGGTAAACTCAGGCTTTTGGAATATGAAAAGTATTTGTTTTCAAATCGGTATTATAAATATTGATTTCTTTTATAGAAGAGCTAGCAATAATATCCTAAAGAGGTTCTATGGGTTGTCTACTATGGTCTTCAGTTTCAGAAAAAATTATTATCGAAGAAGTTGATATCGAATAACTATTTTCTGATAATAGCAATAAGAATTGTTTAATACAATATTCGGTCTCTGAAGAACCAATCACTATCAAAGAAGCAGTTGTAGAATTACAATTTTCTTGAAGAGTTGTCTATTATGTTAATTAGTCTCAAATTCTATCGAAATAACAACTATTGGATTACAATTAATTTGCAGAGATACAAAAGGGGGTCTATTGAATTGTTCAGTTTCAAGATGATTGAATGATATCAAATAATCAACTATAGGATTGGGAATATCTAAAAAAGTTAATAGTTGTCTACTAAAGTGATTAGTATCAGGTGAATCAACTATCATTAAAGAAACAGATATAGTAGGAAGATTTTTTTGTTAAGAGCATTTTTGTCTACAATCGGTGCATACAGATTTGTGAGCTTTCGATTCTCTTCTCTATTTTTTAGTTTTTCTTTTTGTTCGGGTATTGTATTAACATCTTGATATACAGTAGCTTCTCTTCTTAATGAAGACATCGTTCACATGAAGTTTTACTAACTGTATTATCAGTATTGCTCATAATAAAAGCTAGAAAAAAAATATAGTAAACTAAACATGTAAGCATGCTTTTAAATATAATACAGACAGAGATCTTTCAAATTTGTGTAATGCAAATCATTTCTCGTTTTAAGGTATGTCTAAATCTGGGTGCATTAAATTTACTTTTTTGATACAATTAGCATTACCTTTTTGATGTATTAATGGCTACTCGTTTATATAAGTATCAATAAGATAATTTATGCAATGTGTAGATTATTTTTAAAATTATACCAAATACACCAGACTTTAGACAATTTACTTTTTAGTATAAGATCTTTAAATAAAATTTTTTTTAATTCTATGGTACTAAATTTGTACTAAACAGTGGCTGTGTTATAATTTGGCACATAATAGCCTTTCTGCAGATTCCTAGACTATGTATATATAGAAAAATTTTTGCAAGAAAATTTAAAGATTTTTTTACAACTGATTATTTTTATATAATAAAAAAATACTTTTTTTTAACAATAGAAATTGGTTTAGACTAACCTTTTAGTATATTGCAGATTATTTCTATATTGTGTAAAGTACCTGACTTTAGTATATAAAAATTAAAAACACATATACTAATTGTATATATATAAATTAGCAAAACATTAACTGTTTTTCAAACTATTAGAATTTAAAACATATGTACTAAAAGTATATATATAAGTTAGCATAATTGGAAGTAAAGTAACATAATTATTTTGAAAAAATTGCTTATTTATTTTAAAAAAAAATATAAGAAACCATTTTTGCCCACTATCAAGAAATATTGCTTTAAGCAAATTTACTATTAAATGCATAAAATCTGATCATTATTTGAATAGTAATCCTAATATAAACAAATTTTAAAGAATGTGTTTTGATTTTTAAATGATTACACTAGAAAAACAACAAATAATATAAATAAACAGTATAATTATAATGCAGTAGTCATAGGGCTATAGTTGTGCATTGCTGTAGATTAAAACTTTTGATTAGTTAAGTCTCACTACTAAGTATTTATTTCTTATGACTCTAGATTCACAATTTTGATATAATATGTTAAAGGCTAAAAAAATATAAATAGAATGCATGAATAAAGTATATATATAAAATTTTTATCATATTTATGTACTAATTTATGGGGTATTAGAATTTGTGATTTTATGCAATTTGAATATTTAGAATAAGCCCTAATATAACAATCTATATATAATAAAAAAAGTCTAAATAAATTTATTTAGTTTGCTAGCTAGTGTTTTATTAGTAAAATTTGCATTATTAATTGATTTTGAGAGCTTATATTATATTTAAACAATTTTTTGATCAATAATTTATTAATAGGAATGTAATATTATATTTATATAATAAAATATTAAAAAAACTTATGATTTACTTTTTGGAGATATATTTCTAATATTATATGAATATGCGAGATGAATTGACTTAAATACACTTTATTACTGTTTTATATACATATTGATTATACAAATATGCAAGGGTCATCCACTTTGTATAAAATCTCACTGATTTTAAAATATTAAAAAAATTTGTGATTTACTTTTTGGATATATGTTTTTAATATTATATAAATATGTGAGGCAAATTAACTTAAATACACTTTATTACTGTTTTATATACATATCAGTTATACAAATATGCAAGAGTCATCTACCTTGCATAAAATCTCACTGATTTTAATATATATAAATACCACTTTATTTGTTTTCAGATATATGAAATTAATACTTATTTATATATTACAAAGAGCTTTGGAGTAGAGATCTGCAAAATTCTAATTTTGTAACCTGTAACTGGTCTACAATTAGGGTTAAAAATTTTTGCTAGCTGGCCTGGCTCGCAATTAGGGTTAAAAAATTTTTGCCAGCTCGGTCCGGCCCACTTTAATAAATTTAAATTTTAGGTCTGCTCAGCCTACAAATATATAAATTTTAAATTTTTCAAAATTTAAAATAAAGATAAAAATATTTATCAGATAATTTTTATTTCTTAAAAAAGTAATCTTCTTTTTTTTACTAATATTAAACAACTAATCATATTTAAATAAATAAATATTATATAATATTACTGTATATTAATTAGTGTTCCTATGAACTAAACTGAACTGAACTTTTGGCCAAGTTCAAGTTCAGTTCAAAATTAAACTGAACTTGAAC